TAATTGTAGATTTAAAATTGTTAACATATTCAGTATTATATGAAATACATGCGCTTCACTACGATTGATTAATTACAGTTGCTTCATGATACAAGTAACTGAAAGGATAAAGAATAAAAGGCTTGACTTGTGATTGAATGGTGTGTTTTGAGGTTAAAGACTACATCCCGGGCGTAGAGTGCGTCTCACGGGCCCCTCACACACCCAATTACATACATTTACTGTATTTTATGAGGTCCTTCTCCGCCCGTGATATAGTCTTCCCCTGTATGTATCTTGGTTTTACATTAAAACCCATTTGCAAGCCATTTTTTTCAGTTGGTAACACTCAAAGCATGAAAAAAACATAAAAAGTAGATTCTGTAAAACCTAAAGAAACTCAAAGTACAGACTAATGCAGTCCTGGACTCACTTGTCCGATACAACAAACTGAAAAATTATTTTCTCCGTGCGCGACTTTATGAGCTTGACGGACAGGGTACTGGAAAGGGAGTCTGGTTCTAGAGCGTGTTTGTCGTGTTTATAAACGTGTATGGACAATGTTCTGGAGTAATGGGACTGAGAAAAGAAAATAACCAAATGTTACGAGTATCCATACCACATACAAATACTATCCCCTACCTGATTTTGGATTATCCGGCTTACCTGATTTAGGAGTGATCACCTACCCGATTTTGGAGTGCCCATTAAGCTGACTTTGGAGTATCCCCTACCCGATTTACGAGTACCCTTCACCCGAGACGTTTGCGTATCTGATCCTAAGATTAGCCATACTTTCAAGCTTGACTTGCGCAATAATAGTTTTAGTTTCATAGCGATCGAGATAACGTACACCGGCACCTTCCGCGTGGCGATTTTAGTTGCGTCACTGTCGTGAGAGCCATACTTTATACATGCGTCCCATTATAGGAGTGGAGGGGAAGCCGGCTTAGCCATAATGTTTTTTACAGAAATATGCTTACTGTCTCTTCGTTAAGGTCGATAAAAAAGCACCAACGAAAATTATAATTTAATTTACAAATGGATCTTTCCTTTAAAAATAAAATTACTATCCTGATCTTCTACTCTATTCATGGCCATAGAGATGCCATAGTTTGCGTTCCACTCTCGACCTGACTTATGTTCGGTTTTTGAACGCGTTCAATCAAAAACAAGCATCAAACCTAACTCATGAATTATTTCTTTGTGGTTACACACATATTTTACAAAATGTTAATAGTATTTTAATCTTTAAGCGTCAATTTAACATCAGACATAAATGTCTATTATCGAGATAAAAAGTCTCTAAATTTCATCTCAAACTTGTTGTTAGTCTCTTCGTCCATGATGACTGTAGCGGTTAGAAATCCATCCTCTTTAGACTCGGTTTAGTGTACGATTACTTCATGATACAACCAACTGGAAGGATAAAGAATAAAAGGCTGGACTTGTGATTGAATGGTGTGTTTTGATGAAAAGACTACATCCCGGGCGTAGAGTGCGTCTCACGTGCCCCTCACAGACCAAATTACATACATTTACTGTATTTTATGGGGTCCTTCTCCGCCCGTCATATAGTCTTGCCCTGTATGTATCTTGGTTTTAAATTAAAACCCATTTGCAAGCCATTTTTTTCAGTTGGTAACACTCAAAGTATGAAAAAATCATAAAGTGTATATTCTGTATAACCTAAAGAAACTCAAAGTACAGACTAATGCAGTCTTGAACTCACTTTCTGTTCGATACAACACTGTTGATGAATTATTTTCTCGCCGTGCTCGACTTTTTGAACTTGACGGACGGGGTACTGGAAAGGGAGTCTGGTACTAGCCTAGGTACGTACAGATGTGCCGTGCCGTGTTCATCAGGGTATATGGCGGGATGGACAACAATATCCTGGCGTAATGGGACCGTGAGATTGGGCAATAGCGTCGCAAATGCAGATACATTGKCGTACAAAGTCGGAACACTGCCGCTAAAACGGACATTGGATTTTAGCATGTCAGRTCTTGTTTTGCGGATGGAGGAAAYCCGGACAATTGTGGAGGAAACCTTTGAATTTAAGGGAATGACGTGGACCTAACGAACTCTACTGAACCACATGTGATTTGAGTCCATGCCAGGAACTGATTCCGAACTTTCAGTGGCGATATTACTTAAGCCACCTTCGTGAAACC